AAATGCGCATGACAATCGCATTCGATTGATCGTGCAGCCCTAGTACCTGCTCACGATCATAAAGCTATTGTGTCGGTCCTATCTTCTTTTTGACCATCGTCACATTGTCTTTCCTTCCGCAGTGCCGTTCGATGCTGGTGTCAGGTTCAGCTGCCTGGAAGCCCAGCTTTAGCATCAGTTACCGATCTGCTTCAGAGATTGGAAACGCATGAGGACGGGCTGGTGGAGGCCATGAGGAAAGCCCAGCAGAGGCCTCCACCTAGTGTGACTGAGATGGTGGATGACATGGAGGAACTAAATGTGGAGCAAAGGAACCAAGGGGGAGAATCTAGGTGCTCAAACAATGGGGACTGTTGTGGGAGCGATGGAGCGAATAATGACTGCTGTGGAAATGTCAGAGGCGTGAGTGAAGATTCACCAAGAACTCTTTGCCAGGATTCTTTCTCTACAGGAGAGAGTTTGAAGCAGCTGCTAAAGTGTTGCTTGGACTTGATAACAGAACTGGGGCTTCCTGAAGAACTAAAACTTCACATTCAGCAGCTCATACACACTTGAAGTGGATCTACTGCAGCAGAGTGTCTGAATAACATCCTGTGTGGGCAAGAAACAACAAGCAAATTCCAGGAAAGAAAATAAGCCTGTGCATTAGTTGACTCAAATTGATAGTGTATTTAAGGGGATTTTTTTTTTGTAATTTCATTGCTGTGATTCTATTGAACTGCACTTTTTGCTGGATTAGTACAACACTAAACAATGATTTAATACCCTTTTATATTAGAATATTTAAAGTGTACTTATGCCACTTATTGAATCCAATGCACCTGTTTTTGATTGGAAATTACAGTTTCAAAACAAAAGTTAATTCTTTCCAGTGTACCTCCCATCTATTTATTTTTTATCAAACTTTTTCACACATTTAACACGTTTTGTAATGACATGCATTAACTTTGTAATGTGATGTCAATACCACTGTGCATAATGAGCTGTAACCTAATCGAGTGAGTTTACATTTACCACCAAATAAAAGCTATTTATTTAATCAGTTTATGTAATTTATCTGAAGTTAATTTGAGGCATTTAGATCAATTCGATCTATGTATGTAAACATAAAGCTTTAGCTATGTAAACAGTAGCTTTAGCTTGGCATGATTTGGATATTATGTCACTTAAGTAGGCACACAGTTTCTAATTGGTTTATTGTAATGGTTTTATCTCTTATCTCTGTTATAAATCATGAGTAAACTACCAACACTTATGTTTCAAGATGCAACTTTAAGAACTGTAATCAGTCAGAGCAAGTGGGCTGGCCTGATGAAAAAGTGCGTAATTGTTGTATTGAATGTGCACTTGTAGTGTACTTAAAATATTAAAAAGGTAAATAAAAAAAAATGTATTCACAAATAATAATGAAATTAAAGACCACATAAGTGTACTTAGAGTACACATTTATGACTTTCATGACACTTATGTACACTTTTTAAAAGTGTACACAAGTGTCATGAAACAGTCATAAATGTGTAAGTTAATTTTAAATAATTGTTTTAATCTTGTTATGCTTTGAGTAATTGCATTGAAATTTAAACTAATAAATGTTTATTTAATTGCATATAAACGTCCAAAAACAATGAAGTGTCTAAAAACATTACATTGTGTTCACACTGAAGTTTAATTTATGAGTATGTTAATTAATTCTGTAATACGCTTTCTTTTTAGAAGTATGCAAAAGTGCACTACTTTTTCACAAGGGTGGATAAAGCAGCTATTATAACTTAGCTATGTCAGACTGGGTTAATGCAGGTTCAAGATAGTTGTGTACTGTGTTGATGTGCTGCTAATGGATCAGATTTCACTACATTTCTTTAATCTGAGGCCATGCACTGTCATCTTCAAGTGCAATGAAGGAAGAACAGGAGCGAATAAAATAAATTAAGACACCCTATGGCTTTACTTTTCAGCATCTTTTTTGGTTCATTAAAAGCACGTTATTAGACAAGAAACGATATTACAAGTAGAGAACCTGGACGTTCACGGTTTCCTGTGGGGAGTATATTCATAGACGGAAAGTGAAACTACAGACGGTCATTAATACACGTCGATCTTCCTGGAAGCAAAAAGTGGTCGTCTGTCTTGACAAGCAAATGGAGAACTCTTCACATTTAGGTAGGAATTGAGATATTTGAGTATTTCAAAATTCATGCCATACAAAGTTTGGCGATCTGAAGTATCGATTAATCTAACACACAGTGGTGTTGACAGTTCACGTGCTTATGCTGGCTCATTCAATATCGCTGAGCGAAGTTAAATACATTATTTTATACCTCTGTTTTAGGGAAATAACAATGCTTTATTGAATATACTTACATGTAGGACAGAGTGTTGCAATAGTGTCTGTGGTAAACAATGTCATCATTCTGAGTGCTGTGGACACTTGTGCCTTGCGCCGCAAAACAACCTCAGTCACATGCGTAATAATGTACAAACAAAAACTCATCAATGCACAAAGATTAATATACTGTACGGAACATTACATGGAAAACTAAAAAAATAGTTTTAAAGTATCCGTAAAATTGGAAGTCAATTTGTGTATCAACTGGCCTTCTGAAATAGCTGTACTGAAGGTTTTAAAAGGTAATCAAAATCAAATAGAAAACTAGAAATCATATTGATATAAATGGCATGTTTATATTTCGTGTCATTCTGGCTCATGGAGTTACTGTTATAAAAAATAATATACCTATTGAAGTTATGTAAGAAAGTATATTGTGAAATATTTTGTTGAAAAAGTTTGATTTTGCTCTTGGGTTATTTTACTGTATTGTCAAAGATATTCAGCAAAGAATGGAAACTCCCTAATAAAAATGTACCTTACTAGGGATTTTAATTCATTTCACTGACTCGTTTACATTGACATTTACATGTAATCATTTAGCAGACACTTTTATCTTAAGCGACTTACTAATTAGGATAACAGAAGCAATAAAAAAAATGAAAGGATAACAATATGTAAGTGCTGTGACAAGTCCAGGTTAGTCTAACACAGAAGGCGCTACTATTAAAAAGATGTGTCTAAAGACTCGGGTTGAGTTAGGTTGGTCATTCCACCAGCAGGGAAGAGTCAAGGTAAAGGTCACAGGTGGTAAGCACATAAGCTTGAAGTAGTGTGTTTAGGTATAGTGGTGCAGAGCCAGTGGTTGTTTTATAGGCAAACATCAGTGCCTTGAATTTGATGCGAGTGGCTATTCGCAACCAATGCAAAATGATGAAGAGGTGTGACATGCACTCTCTTTGGCTCATTTAGGGCCACTTTTGCTGCTGCATTATGGATCAGTTCCAGAGGTTTGAAAGTACATGCTGGAAGGCCTGCCAAAACAGAGTTACAATAGTCCAGCCTGGATAGAACAAGAGCTTGGACAAGGAGATCACCAGTTACAACTGCAAAGTTCCAGGTTGTCCTGGAAGGAGTTATGGTTGATGCGTCTAGTTGGAAGGAGAAGTTGTGGTGAAGTGTTGGGTTGGCGGATACCACAAGAAGTTCCGTCATACTAAAGTTGAGTTGAGGTTTATGGCCCTTCATCCTGCAAGAAATTCCTGTCAGGCAGGCTGAGGTGTGAGCAACTACTGTTGGATCATCTGGGCTGGAATGAGAAGTAGAGTTCTGTCATCACCATAGCAGTGATTGGAAAAACCATGTTTCTGAATTACAGATTGTAGTGATGACATGTAGATGAAGAAGAAAAGTTGTCCAAGTACTGAGCCTTGAGGCACCCCAGTAGTTAGATATTGTGGCTTAGACATCTCGCCCCTCCAAGACACCCTGAAGGGCCTGGCGGTTAACTATCAAAAGCAACAGACAAATCCAGCAAGATGAGTACTGATGTTTTGGAAGTGAGTGCGAGTGAGCAAATTCACTGAGGGTGCCTCGATAATGTCCACTATGTCTTTGGAAACCACTACAAATGGCCTACCCCTCAAATAGGGCTCAGTGTCCAGAGTCAATGGAAACGGAAATGGAAAAAGTCTTACAGAGTGCACTAGTGCCCGACAACTTTTTCAGTTGTTTTGGATTTGGGAAAAATTTTCCAATAAGGATTTTAAAGAGTTGTAAGCCATGAATTGCTATAGGCTATGTCTTTGAAGACAATAAAACAATTCATAATTGTTGACTCAAACAAACAGTTAAGCATGTCAAAATGAATAGAATTCCATGAATGAAAAAGGAATCAATGCATGGAAGGGATAAAGAAGGATTTGTTCACTTAAAAGATTTGTTCAACAACACCTGTTCAACCATAACATAGTCTCCACAATTACTACAGTTATTGTTATTACTATAAAATTACAATTTGTTAATACAAGATGATCCCCTAAATGTAAGAAGCTTTTAGAGTTTTAGGGGTTTTATTTTATTTATTTTTTTGACTTTTTGATTTCATGCAACTTGTGTCTTTAGATGAAGAAATGGCATATTCAATGCTCATGTGGAACTTTGTGTTTGTTTTCGATCTGCAGGTTTGAGCAGATGACCAGATGCTCAGAAGTGCAGTTGATGGTCAGCTCCTGTAGATACACATTATTACAGATACACGTTATTTACAGACAAAATGTCAAATGTATTGGTACGAGGCATGTAGAATCTTGTCTGGAGAAATAATATTTGTATATGGCTAGCCCTCTGGAAGTGGAAGCGGCTTACTTTAGATAACTGCACATCCTTTGGTCTGAACTTAAACCCAGAGAAGTGGATTTATTGAAAGCGATCACTGCAGCCTGTGCCAACATGGGGAACATATGGGATTGTTGTGGACGAAAAAACCCTTGTGACCATACAGAGGATGAGACTAAAGGTTTACTGCACAGCTCTGAATCAAAGACATCAACTAAGACAGGAACGGATGTCTGCACCAGTCCAACTTCAGATGAAGAGCACAGGTAAAGTTAATGATTTACTTTTTAACTAAGGTGGCATGAAACAGAACTATTGTGACTTATCTCTGAATGAAACAACTTCTTGAGTGAGACTAAATGAAGTGTGGGACCTGATTTTGTCAATCTGGAATTGATTGGATCTTTGGATCATTAGTCATTTGCTAATTGCTGCTATCTCATGTGAGTGACAGTGAAAGTCCCAATGGATTCGAAATTAAAATTTTGTTACTTTTAGTTCATATTTGTTATGAGTTTCATAGCGTAAAGCATCCTCTCCAGTACAAAAAGAGCACTTATTTAACCAAGCAACCAAAATGGCTCGTTTGGATGTTGTGGAATTTGTATTGTTACCATACATTGGACACAAGCAGCATGTTGCATCAAAAGCAAATAGAACCTATAATCACTGATGCTGTGTACACTTGATACAGTATACAGATGCTCATTCAATTTCTGACATACTCCACATGCTTGAGTCAGCTAACATCAGGACAAATCGAAGAGGAAAAAATGTTTGCTTTGATGCATCCAATTTAAACATGTTTGTACAGTCTTCAGAAAGACCTCAGTTTCAGGAACAAGTGAATGGTTTATTTTTAACAATATCCCGGATCACGCATTTGACTGCAGTCCACTTATAATGATTATATAAGTCCACTTACAATGTCACTTTGACACCTTAAATTAAACAGGGTGCTTTTGGACTGGAACTTTAAAGGAACACTCCACTATTTTTGAAAATAGCCTCATTTTCTAACTCCCCTAGAGTTAAACAGTTGAGTTTTATCATTTTCGAATCCATTCAGCCGATCTCCAGGTCTGGCGGTAGCACTTTTAGCTGTAGCTTAGCATAGATCATTGAATCTGATTAGACAGTTAGCATCTCACTCAAAAATGACCAAAGAGTTTCTATATTTTTCCTATTTAAAACTTGACTCTTCTGTAGTTACATCATGTACTAAAACCGACGGAAAATGAAAAGTTGCGATTTTCTAGGCCAATATGGCTAGGAACTATACTCTCATTTCGGCGTAATAATCAAGGATCTTTGCTGCCATACCATGTGTGCAGCAGGTGCAATGATATTATGCAGCACCTGAAAATAGTCCCCAGCACGCTCCCTGTGCAAGCAGGTGGTCACGTTGGTTATGTTGACGGAAGTTAGCCTATTTTCATACAGTTAAAAGTGCTACCGTCAGACCCGGAGATCAGCTGAATGGATTCGAAAATGGTAAAACTCGACTGTTTAACTCTAGGGGAGTTGGAAAATGAGCCTATTTTCAAAAATAGTGGAGTGTTCCTTTAAGACTTCTATATGTAATTGACTTCTGTTTTAATTGGCAAAACTAAACATACTTGGTGCAGTTTGCGCTGTTGTTAATTTGGATGGGCCAAGTTGTTTAATTCTGAATAGGTATTTATATGCAAATGAAAAAGTTATATGGTTATGTCCTCATAATACTGAAGACGGTACCAACAAATTCTGAATTATTTACATTTGCAACTAATTTTTCACCTTAGTTTACACATATGGGCTAAAGGGAACTTTGCACTGTGAATGTCTGAGTGCTGTACATTAAACTAGTAAATCCTGTTTTTCATGTTCCTTCCATAACATCCACATTTGACTTAAATGCATTTCAAATCTCTCGACAGGCATGAAGGCAATGATATTATGCAGCACCTGAAAATAGTCCCCAGCACGCTCCCTGTGCAAGCAGGTGGTCACGTTGGTTATGTTGACGGAAGTTAGCCTATTTTCAGGCGCTGCATAATATCATTGCACCTGCTGCACCCATGGTATGGCAGCAAAGTTCCTTGATTATTATGCCGGAATGAGAGTATAGTTCCTAGCCATATCGGCCTAGAAAATCGCAACTTTTTATTTTCCGTCGGTCTTAGTACACGATGTAACTACAGATGAGTCAAGTTTTAAATAGGAAAAATATAGAAATTGTTTTAATTTTTGAGCGAGATGCTAACGGTCTAATCAGATTCAATGATCTATGCTAAGCTACAGTTAAAAGTGCTACCGTCAGACCCGGAGATCAGCTGAATGGATTCGAAAATGGTAAAACTCGACTGTTTAACTCTAGGGGAGTTGGAAAATGAGCCTATTTTCAAAAATAGTGGAGTGTTCCTTTAAGACTTCTATATGTAATTGACTTCTGTTTTAATTGGCAAAACTAAACATACTTGGTGCAGTTTGCGCTGTTGTTAATTTGGATGGGCCAAGTTGTTTAATTCTGAATAGGTATTTATATGCAAATGCAAAAGTTATATGGTTATGTCCTCATAATACTGAAGACGGTACCAACAAATTCTGAATTATTTACATTTGCAACTAATTTTTCACCTTAGTTTACACATATGGGCTAAAGGGAACTTTGCACTGTGAATGTCTGAGTGCTGTACATTAAACTAGTAAATCCTGTTTTTCATGTTCCTTCCATAACATCCACATTTGACTTAAATGCATTTCAAATCTCTCGACAGGCATGAAGAAGAAACAAAACCACAGCTGGGTGAATTGGTTATAACCAAACAGCCAAATTCAAAGTCTCAAATTCTTAAACCACAGAGCTCTTACTCTACAACAATATCACTATTACAAACTGAAGTCTCTCTTGCTGTTGAAGTTAATCCCAATGTTTCTCCTGAAACGGCTCCAACAGAAACTATAATCTTAGCTACAGAACCACCAAAAACAGAGACTGAAATCACTGAAGAAATCCAAAACATTGCAGCTGAAGTCTCAGAAGCACCTCAAGACAAAGCACTTGCGGACAATAATGCCTCAGTGAAAGGGGAGATAGAGGCTCAGCATGGGTCAGTTGAAGAGGTAGACATCACAGCTGCTCTGACAGATGATGCAGGTGCTACCGCAACAAGTTCAGACTCAACAGTCGCACCTGCTATGGAGACACCTGTTAAGGAAGAACATTCACAGGAAGCTTCATCTCCAAATGTGGATATTACCAATGGACTCTCTCCTGTCATAGAACATGGTCTTGTGAAGGACCCTGGGAGTCTGAAAGTTGAGAATGAAATGAATGATGTCATGGCGGTGGAAAAGCTGCCTCAAACAGAAGACATAGTCCAGGAATCAAATGAAGAAACCTTGGAAACTGAGAGTAAAGAGCAACTGTCATCTAAACCCTCTACACAAACTGACAGGTAATGAATGAATGAATTAAAAAAATAAAATAAATAATATATATATATATATAAATTAAATGCAAATTAAATTAAATTAAAATATAAATAAAATTGGATAGATCCGAGCGGGTTTGGGTCCAAAACTTGCCTCGGAAATGGTTTGGACTCGGTATTAGTTGCCTCGGGTCTCGGATAATTTGAAATAAATGTGCTTTTTTCCAAATGGACCTGATAAGACCCGATCCCTTTAACGTACTTGCACGTTGGTGTTAAGTGCACTGAGGAACCCATCATTGAGCAAACAGATGAAGTAGAGGACAAACGTTCAGAGGATACTCATTCTGAGATGGCAGAACAGAAGCAAGTGACATCTGAAGTTTCTCAAACTCAGGAACATTCACTGGAAGCTTCATCTCCAGATGTAGATATTACCAATGGACTCTCTCGTGCCATAGAAAATGGTCTAGTGAAGGACTCTAGAAGTCTGAAAGTTGAGAATGAAATAAATGCTGATGTCATGGAGGTGGAAAAGCTGCCTCAAAAAGAAGACATAGTCCAGGAATCGAATGAAGAAACCTTGGAAACTGAGAGTCAAGAGCAACTGTCATCTAAACCCTCTACACAAACTGACAGGTAATGAATGAATGAATTAAAAAAAAATAATAATAATATTATATATATATATAAAAATTAAATGCAAATTAAATTAAATTAAAATATAAATAAAATTGGATAGATCCGAGCGGGTTTGGGTCCAAAACTTTCCTCGGAAATGGTTTGGACTCGGTATTAGTTGCCTCGGGTCTCGGATAATTTGAAATAAATGTGCTTTTTTCCAAATGGACCCCTCGGAAATGGTGTGGACTCGGTATTAGTTGCCTCGGGTCTCGGATAATTTGAAATAAATGTGCTTTTTTCCAAATGGACCTGATAAGACCCGATCCCTTTAACGTACTTGCGCGTTGGTGTTAAGTGCATTTTTTGAGAAATGCACGTAGAAAAAGGAACATACGTTTGTAACCTCGCACACCGAAATCCATCTTATAGATACGAGATCCATCATGAAAAGCCACTCTCTTCATTATGGTGCGTGTTCATGCAGGGCAGGGCTTTTCTTTTTTGTGTGTAGAAATTCTCAGAGGCGTAGCAATAGGGCAGGCAATTGCCTGGGGCCCCGCATTTTGAGGGGGCCCCCAACAGCTGACCATTAGAACAATCGAAAATGTCATTATTAATATAACATGGAACATTATATCTGCATCCCCCCAGGGGGTCCCCTCTGGCGTTACGCTGCATGTGCTTGCTGTTTCCTCGTGATGCGTCCGCTGCTGTTTTCAAACTGGCACAGCCAGGTGTGCCTCACACGTCCTGAAAAGTGAAGCTGCGGGTTCTTTGATCGCCGACAAGCCGATGTCAAACCAGAGCTGTGCTTTAAGTGATACAGAGTAAATTCAGAGTAACAAAACTACAGCAGCAACAAGTCTGTTGCCTTTAGCAGCTTCTACAGATAAAGATAACTTCAAGCACTCCTTTTGATGTGTCCTTTTTCAGGCAGTGTTTGAAAAATTTAGTTAAAAAAAAAAAGGCAAAATATTTAATGCATTATTTAATTATTATAGCATTAATAATTAACTTAATTTGTAGTTAACTAGTTAAGTATTTAAATAATTTACCTTAGTATGCTGTTGGTGTCTGGACTTATTTATTTATTTACTTATTTTGAAATGACTTGAGACTTTGTGACTTCCTGCTCTTGCTATATTTCAAAGTCAATAAATCCAAAAGCAGGGGGTCCCCTCTGGCGTTACGCTGCATGTGCTTGCTGTTTCCTCGTGATGCGTCCGCTGCTGTTTTCAAACTGGCACAGCCAGGTGTGCCTCACACGTCCTGAAAAGTGAAGCTGCGGGTTCTTTGATCGCCGACAAGCCGATGTCAAACCAGAGCTGTGCTTTAAGTGATACAGAGTAAATTCAGAGTAACAAAACTACAGCAGCAACAAGTCTGTTGCCTTTAGCAGCTTCTACAGATAAAGATAACTTCAAGCACTCCTTTTGATGTGTCCTTTTTCAGGCAGTGTTTGAAAAATTTAGTTAAAAAAAAAAAGGCAAAATATTTAATGCATTATTTAATTATTATAGCATTAATAATTAACTTAATTTGTAGTTAACTAGTTAAGTATTTAAATAATTAACCCTACTAGGCTATTGGTGTCTGGGCTTATTAATTTATTTCTAAATGACATGAGACTTTGTGACTTCCTGCACTTGCTATACTTCATAGTCATTTTATAATAAATCCAAAAGCAAGACGTGAGAAAAACTAGGGAGTTGAAATGGCAACTGAGCTAATGAGTGAGCCTCTGCTGCCATTTACTGGATATAATGGTAATTGCATGTAATTTTCATTTTAAGTCTTTGTTTTCCACCAGGAGACAAGTGACAGCCGGTGACAGCAGCGGCAATCTACCTGTCACTCAATTGGCCACGCCCTTAATTATGCAGAACTTTAAGTCTTAACATAATTTAAACGGATGAGTTATAAAAAAAATCCACCCCCCTCACAGTTGTCATGAAGGGCAAAATTAGCTATATAGACCAAAATAATTTTTTGTACCAGGCTGTAATCATTTTTTTTTCTGCTGTAAAGTTGGACATTTTAACATGGGGAGTCTATGGGACTGACTCCCTTTTGGAGCCAGCCTCTAGCGGCCAGTCGATGAATTGCCGTTTTAGTCACTTCCGTGTAATAATTAAGCATAATTGTGAATTCACAAACGCTACGATTTAATTAAATAATTGTATGCGATGCAGTTCTAATACAGTATATGCCCTTTAATTATTTACATGCGTGTAGGTTAAGTATGTGCGTCACACAGCGGCTCTGTTCACAGTAGTTCCACAGGAACGGTTATCATTTACATGTGTGGAGCATCTCAAACTCCATCTCTGCATGTTGTTGTGAGTTTGGGTTTATTATAATGTTCATCTGGGAAAGCAACGTGCGCCATTTCATCAGATTTGTAAGGTAAATCATTTATAAATCTATGCAAACTCAGGAGAATACATTGCGGTTTCAAAATAAAAGCTGAAACCCTCACTCTGAGTTTACACGTCTTGATGTCCACATATTCTTTTAATTACAGTGGCTATAGCATTTCTGTCCTAAAGAAATGGCCAAATATTAAAGATTAAGTGGACTTTTGTGGAATTTATGGACATTGAAAGTATATATAAGTATGTTATCGCTGTTTTTTCTTTTCTTTTTTTATCCTTTTTTAAGGTTATTGAGTTATTGTGGAGTTCATTTTTGTATTATTATAATATATATATTTTTTATTCAGTTATAATGAAAAATTTAACTGTTGTCTTAACCTGTATGACAATCTTTGAAAATAAAATTAAATAAGAATTAAATGGTGCTTAGTCAACATTAAGCAAGGATTAGATTGCAGGTAATGTGTTAAAATAATCATCAGGCCGTTGGCGCTCCCTGCAGGCCTTTGTTGTAATGCGTAATGTACATTAGCTCTATTGTTTATAATACATTATGTATTTTAACCATTTTGTTCAATAAAACCATATGATTTCTTGCTTTTGATACTTTATTTGAACTAATTATTATTGCCTCAAGTAATTTTAAAGACTATTGTTCACTTACATCTATTTTTATTACCCCCAAAAAATTAATTATAATTATAGGGCCCGATGAAATCCATTTTATTTCCAAATTCAGTTTTTTTCCATTTTCATTTTTCTATACTCTGTTTTAATGGTTAAATTAAATTTTATTAAATGGGTCATATGATGCGATTTAAATTTTTCATTTCTCTTTGGAGTGTTACAAGCTCTTGGTGCATAAAGAAGATCTGTAAAGTTGCAAAGACTAAAGTCTCAAATCCAAAGAGATATTCTTTATAAAAGTTAAGAGTCAACTAAGCCTACCTAAAACGGCTCGTTCTAACACGCTCCCACATGTCTACGTCACGATGTGGGAAGATTTGCATAACGCCGCCCAAATGTTCACGCAAAGAAAGGCGGCGTAACTTTTATTCTCGCTGTATTATTGTTGTTACCGCCTCCGCCATGTCGTGAAGGCGGCGGCGGTGTGTTTCGTTGTGAAAGCTAAACTACTTTGTTTGGCCTTCCAAAAGAGGACGATATCGCTTCGTCATGCCTGGAGCTGATCCGTGCTGGTCGCTGAGGAAATACTTCAACTTCGTGCTGTGGATCGCCGGATCGGCTTTCACCGTGGACGAAGCGGAGTCTAGCCCGGGTTCGTCACATGTGGTTGCCGCAAGCCCGCCGGACGCTCCTCCGTCGAATCCGCCGGCCGCGCCGTTCTCTAGCCCGCCGGCCATTCCTCACTCTAGCCCGCCGTGTGTTTTGTTGTGAAAGCGAAACTACTTTGTTTGGTCTTCCAAAAGAGGACACGACTAGAAATCAGTGGTTAAGTTGTATTTACAACACTGTTCCAGAACAGTTCAACCCAAATATTCAGATGTGTGCAGCGCATTTTATGGAGGACTGTTTACTGATCCTGGTAGAGTAGACTACAATGCGGGCTGTTCTGACTCGCAGACTGTAAGTACGTTTTTTTATATTTAAAGAATTTGCCACTGACGATTCAAACGTGAGTTTTGAGCAGGGTAGCATAGCACTTGTTGTTTGTCAATTCTCTGATCACAAATGCAAACATGGTTTTATGTTTACGCGGCGCGATGCAATGCAACGCGTAAAAAGACAGTATAAGTCATTATAATACGTAATTAGGTCCCCACTGGATGCAACAAATGCCTCGTTTATAATGGGTTTTAATGTTTTTGTCTCATTGCTCCGACCGGACAGGGCATCACAGTATGGTAAGGGGCGTAACATTTCTGTCACACGCTTGAGGTATTCGGCCAATCATAACGCACTGGATAGCTGGCCAATCACAGCACACCTTGCTTTTCAGACTGATGAGCTTTGTTAAAATCGACACGTTTTAGAAAGGCGGGGCATAGAGGCGAAACAATAATGTACAGTATGTGGAAAATAATGTGTTTTTTAACCTTAAACTGCATAAACACATTTCATTACACCAAATAATGTTCTTTTTAGCAACATCATATGACCCCTTTAATCAAAAAGCCTGTCTAATTAATTGAGTTTTACAGTTTTATCTTTACCAAATTCTGTTTTCCATTATTTTCTGTATTCCATTTGAATGATTCCATTACATTTTAATAATCAAAAGCATCTAAAATTAATTGATTTTATTAAAAAAAAATTTTTTTTTTCATTTTTTATTTCAGAAATACTGTACATTTACATTTTTCTCCTAAATAAATTCTGATAAATAACATTTCTGGTAAATACTCCTTTAAAAAGTGTTTTTTTTTTTATTATAATTGTATTATTAGTAGACTAGAACACATAGATATGTTGTCATTCTTACACTATAATACTGAACTTAGATTTCAGTGATTTGGACTATGAGATGGACACTTGCTTCTTGCACTCTATGTTGCACTTTACTTTTGCTTTAAAAAAAGGATTTCATAGAAATTTGGATTTCATTTGGTTTAATAAAAATCGAATACAAAAAAATCGATTAATCGATAAATTAGTCGACAGATTAATCGAAATAAAAATAGTCGTTAGTGGCAGCCCTAATGTACATAATGATTTAATAATTATAAAATAATTATTTCTGCCATAATTATTCTAAAGCGACATTTTACAGAAATAGTGTTCACAAAATAATGTTAAAGTGGAAAAATATTGGTAATTCTGACCTAGCGCTCATAGTTTTGATTAGAATGCATCACATCCGGTCGGGCGGTCGCTTAAGCCGCCTTTCCACTACTTGCCTTGTCCAAATACCCACACTTACGGTCTTGGCCACTTGAGAGCGCGTGTGCGCGACAGGAAGTAAGTGAGTAAGACTGTCCCAGGTCTTAAAAATGGCAAAGCGCAGTGCCCTTAGCGCACACTAAACCCACACTATCTCAAATACCGCTCCGGAGCGCTATTCGAGGCTTAGTGTATCCCATCATGCATCATGTTCTGGAAATAAATCGTGAGACTTTTTGCCAAGATCGCGAGAGAGGTCACGGAAACCTTTCCAATGTAAGTTAAACTATTAATAATAATAAGATATTACATATAATTTGGTAGTAAAACTAAGTGCTACACATTTTATTGCTGCAAAGATTAGTATATTTATTTTTGTACAACAATTGCATAGTGTCATCTATTATAGGGACTACTGATCAGACATTTAGAAGTTGATTTTAAAATGCAAAATATAATAATACTAAAACTCTGTAAACACTTGCGTTTTTACAACACTATAAGTGTGTCCCATCAGGTAATGAAAAGTTGTACACACACTTGTGGTCTTCTTCATGCTCACTTGAACACTTGGGCCAAATACAGGAAATACGTCATAAGTAGTCAAGTGCAAAGACCGCAAGTGTGGGTATTTGGACAAGGCAACTGTCTCCGACAAGCGACAGACCGGAAATCATTAATTTCCTATGAAAAGTAGTGCGGGAGCTGCGTGGAGTTCCGATCATAGACATAATAAATACCTAGATGCTGCTTTGAGCCATTGCTGCGATACGTCAACGTGTATCGACGGAGGTAAATGGGGGACCTGCGGTTTATTCTGGATAAAAACACGAGAACGCTTACATTTATCAACCGATTTCAGAGGTTTGTGATCTACATGGAGTTAAAAATAACTCTGCCTCCAGTTATTTAGTTAGGTTTGGAAAATTATTAATTTTCGTAAGAAATTGTGAAAACTCACACTTGTCTCACTTGTTGATTTGATTGATTTTTTCGGTTTACAATTCTAATGTTATTGTAGTATAACTGTGGCAACGTGATACTTCCGGTTTCCTTTTCCGCCCGTCCTACGAAGGCCGTCTCATTTAATTCTAGGTTGAGGACACTTCGTAAATCATATGCATCCTACAGAGGATGCGACCTCCAGAGGATTCGACCTCCGGAGGGTGCAGCCTTCTATATGAGACACAGCTTATAGTTCCGATCATGTGTGTATGCGGAAATTTCGGATCTGATTTGAGCTTCGGATGCGTTAAAATATTTGAACTTCTGCGGCTAGACCATATGCGACCGCCCGACCCGATGTGATGTATTCTAATCAAAACTATCGGCGCGAGGTCAGAATTCCCAATGTTTTGTTCACTTTAACATTATTCTTTAAAGGGGTCCTATTATGCTTTTTCACTTTTTCAACTTTAGTTAGTCTGTAATGTTGCTGTTTGAGCATAAAAAAGATCTGCAAAGTTACAAAGCTCAAAGTCCACTTCAAAAGGAGATATTTTATTGAACAGAAATCACTTTTCAAAAACTACAACGAACGACTCGTTTGGACTACAATGCATATTTTCCGGGATTTGTGATATCACAAAGATCGACGAATGGGACGAGACCTGGTTGAGTTGCACTAGAGAAGGCAACGAGTGTTATCACGATGTCGGAGACACGCTAGCTTTCCCAAGGCAGACGAACTTAGAGTGATTACAATCATCCGGGTTTAAATTGCGCTAAAATTGATTTGATTTTGACGCAATATTTACATTGAAGCTGCAGTATACTATGGTAAGGGGCATGACATTTCCTGACCAGGCGCCGATTGCTACCAATCACAACACACACTGGCCCAGCTAACCAATCACAACACACACTGGCCCAGCTAACCAATCACGGGGTTTTTTGGGGTTTTTTTGGGGGGGGGGGGATTTGATTTGTGAGATGCATTCATACATTAATTATATTCATTAAAATGATTCATTTTACCATGGTGAATAAGCCGAGGTAACGGTTGCTGCACGACCAGTTTGAAAGTTCTGTGCGACTGCCACTAGGGGGAGAAGTGCGACAGTCGTGTCCGAACGTCGTCTGCAGTGGAAAGGCGGCTGGAAAGGCGGCTTTACGGTCTGGCCGCAAAAGGTCAAATATTTGAACGCATCCGAAGCTCAAATCGGATCCGAATTTTCCGCATACGCATATAATCGGAAGTCCACGCAGCTCCCGCACTACTCTCCATTGGAAATGAATGACTTCTGGTCGATCGTTTGTCAGAGATAGTGGAAAGGCAGCTTGGGAGACAATAATGTAAAGTAACAATAAATTAAATCAATGTTAAATAAATAAAATGAATGTAGAAGCGGCCAAATCAGTCAGCAGGACACCAGGATTGTTCTTTACTGCAGGCTGTGCACACAGCGCTGTTTACGTTCGGGTTCGAAAATAATGCAGTCGGGTCGGACTCGTATTGTAATTTTGGTCATATTGCCGACCCCTAGCCCATACGCAATATGTTAATGTCTCTGTTATTTTACTATCATCGAGATACTATTATAGTTTTATTTTTTTTATTTTTTTTTATTTGGATATTTTTTATTTTATTTTATTTACAATCTAAATGAAAATGAGAGATTTTACTTTGGCAACTAAGTGAATTAAAATAAGTTTAGGTTTTTATATTTTATTGTATTTCAGTTAACGTTTATTTTAAGTAACAAAAATGTTTTTGTTTTTTTTATGGTTTTAGTGTTAGTTAACTAATAACCCTAGTTAATTTCTCTATTCTGTTACAGCACTATTGATATGGACAAACCTGAAGTCATGGATTCTGTGAAAGATCTAGAGAAGAATGAAAAGTTTGCAGATCAAGAGCACGAGACTACAGAACCCCTTCAGAATGGCCTGGACTCCACATGTGCCTCAGTGTCATCAAGCCCCACTGAGAAAACCAGACTCACTGGACCAAGGTTAGTACTTCCTGCTATTCATTATTATTACTACCGTTAGGTGGTGCAAAACTCCCAGTATAAAAGACAGAGTTCATAATAGTGTTCAGTGACTAAGTTTAGTTATTAGTTTGCTGTGTGTACGCACTAAGAGTGTAATCATCACAGACTAGAAATAGATAAATTGTCAAAAAGGGAAGCTTATGTGCCATGCCAAGGCAAACAACTGGCAATAAAGTACAAACACTAGTAAAGTACAATGTTGCAACAATGTCAACATTAGTTGCCGTAATTGTTTTAAATGAGCCACTGTTAATTTAAACACCATAAGCTCAAATCGGATCCGAATTTTCCGCATACGCATATAATCGGAAGTCCACGCAGCTCCCGCACTACTCTCCATTGGAAATGAATGACTTCTGGTCGATCGTTTGTCAGAGATAGTGGAAAGGCAGCTTGGGAGACAATAATGTAAAGTAACAATAAATTAAATCAATGTTAAATAAATAAAATGAATGTAGAAGCGGCCAAATCAGTCAGCAGGACACCAGGATTGTTCTTTACTGCAGGCTGTGCACACAGCGCTGTTTACGTTCGGGTTCGAAAATAATGCAGTCGGGTCGGACTCGTATTGTAATTTTGGTCATATTGCCGACCCCTAGCCCATACGCAATATGTTAATGTCTCTGTTATTTTACTATCATCGAGATACTATTATAGTTTTATTTTTTTTATTTTTTTTTATTTGGATATTTTTTATTTTATTTTATTTACAATCTAAATGAAAATGAGAGATTTTACTTTGGCAACTAAGTGAATTAAAATAAGTTTAGGTTTTTATATTTTATTGTATTTCAGTTAACGTTTATTTTAAGTAACAAAAATGTTTTTGTTTTTTTTATGGTTTTAGTGTTAGTTAACTAATAACCCTAGTTAATTTCTCTATTCTGTTACAGCACTATTGATATGGACAAACCTGAAGTCATGGATTCTGTGAAAGATCTAGAGAAGAATGAAAAGTTTGCAGATCAAGAGCACGAGACTACAGAACCCCTTCAGAATGGCCTGGACTCCACATGTGCCTCAGTGTCATCAAGCCCCACTGAGAAAACCAGACTCACTGGACCAAGGTTAGTACTTCCTGCTATTCATTATTATTACTACCGTTAGGTGGTGCAAAACTCCCAGTATAAAAGACAGAGTTCGTAATAGTGTTCAGTGACTAAGTTTAGTTATTAGTTTGCTGTGTGTACGCACTAAGAGTGTAATCATCACAGACTAGAAATAGATAAATTGTCAAAAAGGGAAGCTTATGTGCCATGCCAAGGCAAACAACTGGCAATAAAGTACAAACACTAGTAAAGTACAATGTTGCAACAATGTCAACATTAGTTGCCGTAATTGTTTTAAATGAGCCACTGTTAATTTAAACACCATGCACTAGTTATTTCATGGCTTTGTCTACTTCCTGTGGGTAATAATGTGTATATAATGTTTTAATGTGTGATTACGCCACATGGTGTATCAGATCTAAGCAGAGTTTATGCAGAAGTTCTTCAAGAAATTCTTCAAGACAGTTGCTGTCTGAACAGCGTTCCTTTCAACTTTATTTTGGGAATATTTTTATGGTTGTAGATTATAGTGACCGTTGGCATAATTTACAGGGCTCAACGCTAAGGATTTTTTTCTGCTGGCCCAGTTGGGCCAGTGGTTAAAATGTTCACTTGCCCCACCAATATTTTAATAAATAGAGGACCAAACCTGCAGAAATAAAAAAATATATAGATAAATAAATAAAATAACAGGAAAATAAAGAAATAAATAAATGACTTGATAAAAACAAATATAGTTCATTTGTAATACAATTTAACTCTGAATTTATTTTCTATTACCTTTTTCCTTTATGTATTATATTATGTATTTATTCATTTTTTTATGTATTTTTATTATTTTTAACTTTTTACATATTCTCTCATTTATTTTTATTTTTATATTTATTTAATTTATTTATGTATTTATTTATTTATGTTTAAATGTATATATGCATTTATTTATTTTTTATATTCATTTATTCCCACATGTATTTATTTCCAGATGTATTTATTCATTTAGAGCTCATGCAGAAGTGAAAGTCAAACTAACGATAGAGAGTTTGCTACAGGATGTGTCAGATCAACTGGAGAGTTGCAAGATATTTTCACAGATCCACATTATTATGTCGAATTATTTTATAGCGACTGAATTCAGCTATCTATCCTCATAGTTTCGTCATTAAGCCCGGAACCATAAACGTCGTTGATGAGTTTCTAGTTTGATGACGCCTCTAGACACACTCGGTGGAGGTTTCTAAGGCTTGTGTTCATTTTGTAATAAGAGGGAAAATTGTGACTCCCAAAAGCGTTGTGAGCTTAAGTTTTAAGACTATGAAATGGCCACATTAAAGCATTATACGTGTGTGTGTGTGTGTGTGTGTATTACTTTAGAATCATGTGACACTGAAGACTGGAGTAAAGGCTACTGAAAAAAAATATAGAATATATTAAAAATAAAAACTTGTGTTCATAAAAAAAAGCAATAACATATTAACAAACATTAAGTATAAAAAATGCAACTTCAAAATAATTAGAAAACATGACAAAAAATGTTGAGATACCAGATTGTCCTCCTTGTCAGAATTGCCCAATAACCACTCTATCATTTCTCGTTTACAGTGATTCAGTTGCTCTAGAAGACACTGAGGCCATAGGTGAGATTCCTGTGTTGAGCGAGGCAAAATTAGTGGAAGAAGTTGTAAAAGATGCAGAAACTGGACCTCAACAAACAGAAGACGAAAAGGAGAAACAGGAAAAGGAAGCTAGTGCTGCACAGAAAAACGAAGGAAAAGAAGACACTTCTGCCACCCCAAAATCAGAGATCCTTTTCAGCAGTGGCACAGTAGAGGTGAAGCTGATACAGAAAGATACAGAAGAGAGTGTGGAGGAAGTGCACGAGGCATTGGATGAGTATGTGTCACTCTTTTATTCTGGTTTCCAGCAATAGCTTTAGTTTGGAAAGCAGATGGTCAAAGCATTTGGACACCAGAATCAATTTTTAATTAGACAAATTAATGACGAGACAAGATTATGCAGGATTGTGAGTATAGTCTTGCAACCAGTGCCGGCCCGTCCCAGCAGGCGGTACAAGCGGTCGCCTAGGGCCCTGCCTTGACTTTGATGTCAAACACTTATCGATCTGCAGCGCCCCATTAAGTCAACACACATACAGATGATGCACCAGGGCTGTACAGTGCGTTTAAACACATTTAAAGAGGTCATATGATGCGATTTAAAGTTTTCCTTTCTCTTTGAAGTGTTACAAGCTCTTGGTGCATAAAGAAGATCTGTAAAGTTGCAAAGACTAAGGTCTCAAATCCAAAGAGATATTCTTTATAAAAGTTAAGAGTCAACCACGCCTACCTAAAACGGCTCGTTCTAACACGCCCCCACATGTCTACATCACTGTGTGGGAAGATTTGCATAACGCCGCCCAAATGTTCACTCAAAGAAAGAAGGCGTAACTTTTATTCTAATTTGTCCATATTAGGGATTTCCTCCAACGTGATTTTTGTGAGTATTGCATTTTATGATTTTTTCACTTTTTTTTTCTTTTTTTCCTTATTTTGGGTAAAAATAGGAAAAATCATACTTCTAAGATTTCTCCAGTATAGAGGAGTTTTTTTGTATCCCCTCTCTCTCTCTCTCTCTCTCTCTCTCTCTCTTTCTCTCAGTGGATACATACAATTTCCTGACAAAAATTAGGAAATTACTGTTAATGATTTTTAATCATAATAATTTATAATAAATCCTTAGACCTTTCTAAAGGTTTCATTATCAATAATTATTACTTTGTTTAATGATTTATGTAGTTATAACTATAATCAGAATTATTAGTAGTCTATATATATATATATATATAAACAATTTTTTTGGCCAAATTGTGCAGATCTACAAACAGGCACAGTAAACTTAGTGTTATTTATAATTTCTGGCAAATAACAAAAAAGTTTATCTGAAATCTTTTCTAGTTACAGTTCAGATTTTGTCTGCAGATTTTGTTGGTTCAGATTTTGGAATTGAAATGAAAGAATGATAGAGAGATTAAAGTGAAATTGTAGTAGAAATGGAATCCAAATGGTATCTTTATGGAGACGAAAAAAAGGGATGTTCTGACTGCTATACTGTACATAATATTTATTGCTTTAGTATTAATATTTGTTTTATAAATGCAATGATGTCCACCATCACAGACTTGTTATATGTTTAAATTGCTATGACAATTTTTACACTAGTGGGGCCTATTTTCGTTATCTTGCCTAAGGCCCCACAACCCTACGGGCCGACACTACTTGCAACCCGTTCAACCAGAACGTCTCGGTTACGTATGGTAACCCTCGTTCCCTGAAGGAGGGAACGGAGACGTCACGTCGGATGAGAGACCAATCTACTTCGAGTGTAAACTAGATGAGCCAATGCACAATGGCATGCGATTATTGCATCCAGCTGCCGCTGATCACAGCGTGAGTATAAGTAGGCAGCAGATGCAGAGCATATGCAGGTTTTCGCTGAGGAGCCGAGCCGGTGACCCGGTCGCTCAGCGGTGGTACAGGAGCTGTGGCGATGGGATGTAACCGAGACATTCCCTTTCAGTTGGTCACTCTCGACGTCACGTCGGATGACCGACGAATTGGGATCCTACCAAAAGGCCACAGCTACTGCCCCTTCCAGTGTCCTGTGGAAGCCACCTGCACCCCTACTTTTTGGCGTAGGCCAGGGCTTGCACAAGAGGACCAGCTACTGCTACTATGGCACTACCCAATGAGTAAGACTGGATAACACTGGGAAACGTACCCGTTCTACTTGGAACAGGGACGTTACGGAAGGAGGCTTCGGAAGCAAATACACATATGAACATTCCTCAGGTGCATATGGAAGAATGGAGGTGATTGTACTTCTTGGAATGGCAGAGGTCTGCCGGGGAAACACAGGCTCGAGGCTATACCATGGACTTTACACATATGGGATCCACTTAGGTCTTTCATATGGAACCCAGCCTTCTACCGGTTCTTGAGGATTCAACGAGTGAAGGCCTGGCACCGGACGCTCCACCACGTCTGGCTGCCGAGGGGACGGAGGAGCTCAACAGGGTCTACTACATGGACTCTCTGGAGTGGTTTTAGCAAGCCGACCCGAAGCCGGGGCCTCTTAGTGCTTCTACCCGTTTGAGATTGCAACCTGAACGGGCAGGGCACACCCTGTGCCTGATAAGCCAGGGTGATGGCATCCACTATCCAGTGGGCCATCCTCTGCTTAGAGACGGCATTCCCCTTCTGCCGGCTTCCGTGACAGACAAAGAGCTGGTCTGAGGTCCTGAAGCTTTGCGTCCGGTCTACTTAGCACCTTAAGGCTCGGACAGGACAGAGCAAAACTAGGGCTGGGTCTGCCTCCTCCGAGGGCAGTGCTTGCAGTTTCACCACCTGATCCCTGAAGGGAGTAGCGGGAACCTTGGGCACACACCCGGGCCGGGGCTTACCTGGAAATCAGCCGGCCCAAACTCTAGGCACGAATCGTTGACCGAAAATGC